TGAGCGATGAAATCCGTTAAAAAATCAGCCATGAACTGAGCGATGAAATCCGTTAAAAAATCAGCCATGAATTGAGCGATGAAATCCGTTAAAAAATCAGCCATGAATTGAGCGATGAAATCCGTTAAAAAATCAGCCATGAATTGAGCGATGAAATCCGTTAAAAAATCAGCCATGAACTGAGCGATTAAATCCGTTAAAAAAATCAGCCATGAACTGAGCGATGAAATCCGTTAACAAAAATCAGCCATGAACTGAGCGATGTAACCCGTGATCTTCTTCTTTTTAGCCTACAGCTGCTGTAAAGCGGTGGAAAGTTCTGGTTGTTTGTCCATTTATGGACTCTGATCTTATTCCAGAACTTGAGCTTTGTGAGCACATCCATTTAACGGATCTGGCTTATTTGTATGCAGACTGTTGGTTTCTTGCCTCTCATGGAGATCCACCCCGACTTCAAAAGAAACACCCCTAAATAGGGAGCAGTGGGTCTATTATAACCCCCTCCCCCAAAAATGGGATCCCAGAACCCACACGGGGAATCTGTGAAACGAAACCACGACTTTCAGAGCGCCGGGCAACAGCTTAACCTCTTTAGGTTCCTCTTCCCAAAACTTTTCCATAGGGAGTCACAGCAAGCTCTCATCTACAGCAGCAAACATACTAGCACACATTCCTATACCCACGCACATTCACGCTTTCTATACACGCGCGCGCACACACACACACACACATACACGTAGACTCAGACACACACACACACACACGCACACACACAGATAGAGAGCGAGAGAGAGAGAGAAAGAGAAAGTGAAAGAGAGAGAGAGAGAGAAAGAGAGAGAGAGACACAGAGAGAGAAAGAGAGAGAGAAAGAGAGAGAGAAAGAGAAAGAGACAGAGAGAGCGAGAGAGAGATAGAGAGCGAGAGAAAGAGAGAGAAAGAGAAAGAGAGAGAGAGAGAGAGAGAGAGAGAGAGAGAGAGAGAGAGAGAGAGAGAGAGAGAGAGAGAGAGAGAGAGCAGCATGCGCTGACTAAAAACTGGACTAAAACCGAACTCTCAGTAGGCATGTACAGAACAACACTGAAAGAGCATTTGTGATGTTGGGAAAGCACTGGAGAAGCATCTCAATGGCCACCAGACGGGCACTACCGGGGCAGCAAAATTGAAATGTCGTGTCGTTTTCAGTCCCACAAGACGTTTTAGATGGAGCTGATAAGAAACTGTGTAGTCTGGTACAATCGTAAGCCGGAGTCATAGGGTGGGCATCGAACTGACCTGGTTCATTGGGTCGATGGTCCAATGTGGTGTCCATACATCTGCACTAGTCGCAGAAGACACTGTAGCAATGGAAACAGACAGTATAGCATTTGATACACTTAATACTGACAGTGAAACAGCTGATAACAGATGGTGTGGCAGTTAATATAGACTGTATGCCAGCTGATACAGACTGTATAGCAATTGATATAGACTGTTAAACAGCTGATACACACTTATAGCAACTGATACAGACAGTTTAACAGCTGATACAGACAGTTTATCAATGGAGACAGACAATATAACAGCTGGTACAAACTTATAGCAACGGATACAGACTGTTTAACAGCTGATACAGACAGTTTATCAATGGATACAGACAATATAACAGCTGGTACAGACTTATGGCAACTGATGCGGACAGTATAAGAGCTGAAAAAGAATGTACAGCAACCGATACAGGCTTGTAGCAACTTATGCAGACAGTATAACAGCGGATACATACTTATAGCAACTTATGCAGACAGTATAACAGCTGACACATACTTAAAGCAACTTATACAGACAGTATAACAGCGGATACATACTTATAGCAACTTATACAGACAGTAAAACAGCTGACACATACTTAAAGCAACTTATACAGACAGTATAACAGCTGATACAGAATTATTGCAACTTATGCAGGCAGTCTAACCGCTGATAAACAATGTACAGCAGCTGAAACATAATTTACAGTAGCTAAAACAGACAGATTAGCAGCTGACACAGACTAACAGCAGCTGACACAGCCGGCCAACATCAAGCCGGCCGCCTATACTTTCCGGGACAACAGCACACGGGACAACATCATAGCACACGGGTGTAATCCATAAGTGCTCCGTTCTTCTTCTAACTCAAGTCCGAGTCCGAAAAATCTCAGCACAGTGCACAGGCTCTGTAGCACCGGCGAGGATCCTGAAATACTTTGGGTAGATTTTTAACTCCAAATTTTGCCCGGGCAGCGACGCTAAGCTACTCTATTCGATTTCCAACCGCCAAGGGATTTTTTTACGTGCTGCGAAACAATGCACACAGGCGTCCGATCTCACTACCCAGAAACCAGGGGGAATTACCAGAAGTCCGAGACTATGTGAAACATTCCTAGCGCTTACCGTGGATAAAACCCGGAACCTCTAGTACTCGAGGCAGACACTATGCCTCGAGATCACGCAGCTGCCTTGGTCAATCCCTGCATTTTCTGCCTAATGTGATAAGAACCCTTATACAAGTCTGATTTTTGTCCTGACACATTGAGTTCTACTCGCCCAGTTTTTAAAGCATACACATCTCTAGGAGCCGTCGTGGTGTAGCGACTAGACGCTCGCCTGAGGATCAGAATGTCATGTGTTCAGGCCCTGACTAAGCCGGACGTTTTTGTTCCCAGTATAATGTGATACGGCTTTCCAGTTCGACCCAATGAGTGCAAGGTAACGTCCTGAAAAGTGAAGCTGGCCGGCGTGGTGTTGGCCATACCACCCACTGAGCGACGATTGGTCTAAAAAATAAAGGTCTTTCTCTAAATGTCCATTCGCCTTAAGGCGTGGTAAAGAGGACGTATACTTTTACACACACACATTTCTCTAATTGTGTCGTTTGCTTGCGTCATCTGAGACTTCCCTCTTTTTAGTCAATGGCCCTCAGTTGCACCCAGAGCTTCGTGGAGGAATCGTTTCTTTATGTGGTTACTTCGAGTCATTACCTTGCTTGCAGCACACCGAGCCTGGCTGCAACAACCAGAAGTGCAAGGAGTTATCGCATACATACAACTGGGGCATCTTCGGTAGTCGACTTGTAATTCCAACGAGTAATATCAACTGCTGGCTGCGTGAATTTGTATCATGGTACGGGGCGTCGCATGTCGAGCCAGTCTAAAATGGGGACCAGGATGTATGTCATGGGGAAGTAAAGACGGCTGGCTAAATCCTGACCAAATTACCTATCTAGTGCTGATTGGTCGATGCGCTGAAAGGCGTGAAAGAGGACCCATCTTCGGTAGTCCTACAACCCACCCTATAGCTTCATTCTGTCCAACCTTCCTCAGCTGATTATTTAACACGGTGACCATTCCTAGTTCATAATCTATCAGTGAGATGATCAAGCGTTGGTACACTATGACCATCATTCATTCATGATCCTGTTCTGCCATTATACGTCACATAGGGCTCACAGTTTTTTTCTCAATCCCCTTCTATGCCGATCAGAACAGGCTTACTTCGTGAAGAGTGACATGTTTCGCTGCGGAGGACACGGGTGAGGAGTATTGTCTGGATTTTTTCACCGGGTCACGACGGTGTGTTGGGAAATGAACACGCGGACAGACTGGCTGGCTCTGCACAACTTGGTTAGTGCCTTGTGGGAGAGCGTGTACAGTTCGGAGGTGCAGATGGATCACCACAGTCTGGTGAGATTGATGCAGCGGGGAGTGACGAGAGGTTCTGGCAGATGCTCGAGGCTCAGAGGAAAGGCAAGACAGACGTTTAATCAGAATGCTACTGGCACCATTAGTATCGGAACTCTTTGCTGGCTGCTGAAGATGGGGACGGAGCGCTTATGGGAATGCCCCGAGTGCTGTGATGTCAGTTCTTGAATCAAATCAAATCTGATATGCCGTAATATCACTGATGGAATTCAGTCCAGCAGCTTTGACCTCCCTCATCAAGGTTCATCATAGGTTTTTGTTTTTGTCACAGCCTTCTTAATCCTTTTATTTCCCATCGTACTGCCTGTTTAGTGATTCATTCCTGGCCATCATGATGTGCTCCACGTCTATAGCTGCTATAACCTTGAACACACTGAGCCCACTTTACCCCGCATTTCTCTTTATTTGTAACCAGCATGCCACAGGAGCAAACCAGAGAGAATAACGCCAATGGTAACTAAAGTAAAAGTAAGTAAAGGACCTTTTCCCACGCCTTTTTTCTTTAGGTATATAATGCTAAATCTAATTTTTTTTTAGATCAAACGGCACTTGGCGGTTGATGTGGTCAGCATCACACCGGCCACCTGTACTTCCCAGGACTGTACCTGGTACCCACTCAAAGCAGGGTCAACCCGGGAGTCAAGATCATTAAAAAAAAAAGGCCCTCGCCCAAAACCGAACCCACGACCTTCCAATCAGGAGGCGCGCCGCTAGACCACGGCAGCTCCCGCCAATGGTAACAGAATCGTTATTGGTAAACTGATTGTCCGAGGGAAATTGTAATCTAAGACATGCGAACTACAAACTGGTCCCAGCAGAGACAGAGCATGAGCAATACGAACACGGCCTCGCTAACCAGTTTCATTTATACATCATCGTCATTATCAATAACACCATCGTCGCCATCATCATCAACATAACTATCAACACAACATCATAATTGTCACCATTATCATCATCAAATCTTGATCATTATCAATACCATGATCATGATCAACATCATCGTCGCCATCATCATAACTATCAACACAACATCATCATCATTCAATCTTGATCATTATCAATACCATGATTATGATCAACATCATGATCAACACCACCAACATCATCGTAATCATCATTATAATTCTGTTTTCATGTTCATTCGTCCTATGCGGCACACAGTTATGAGTTAGATTATCTTCACAGCACTCCGGACACAGCCATAAAGTTAATGCTTCCATTCCAGTTTACGACACAAAGAAACAGCAACACTCTGATTCTCTACAACAATGTGAATTTTTATTTAAAGCACCGCACAGCAGCCCTTTTTGGCCCCTTTCTTGGCCCCACCTGACGCTTTGTTCTGAATCTCCGAGTACACTGCCTGAAACGCCTGGTTAATGTTCTCTCCGGTCATTGCTGATGTTTCAAAGAAGGGGCATTTCAAGGATCGTGCTAGTGCCTGGCCCTGTTTGGTTTGAACCACTCTCTGTGCGTTCAAGTCCGACTTGTTGCCTACGATGACCACAGGAAAATCCCCTTGCGTTTTCCTCAACTGAACCACGTGGAGTCGAATCTTTTGCAGTTCATCGAAAGTGTCTTTTTTGGTGATGTCATACACGAAGATGAAGCCGTTCGACTCCAGGATGTTCTTATTCATGGCTTCAGAGTTGGTGGCGTCGCCTCCCGCGTCCCCGATTTTCACCTTCACATCCTTCCCGTCGACCTTCAGCTGGTGGGTGCAGACTTCGTAGTGCGTAGGTTTATGCTCCTGCAGCTGTCCCCCACGCACCAACTTGTAGACCATGGCGCTCTTGCCCACATTGCCACTGCCTACAAGCCCAATCTGTGGCAACTCGCCTTGCGGCTCCTGCGCACTAACCGGTTCCTCTGGCGGAGCAGCAGGTACTGATTCGGCTGGTACGTGCACTGCCGACACACCTGTCGATGGACACGCTGCCGCAGCCCTACACTCACACTCGGCTGTACAGGCCTCTCCGGGACAACCCATGGTTCTGACGGTAGAACGGACGTCTTTAACAACAGTTAAGCAGATATCACTGACACTACACTGCGCCTTGTTTGGCAGTTCTGAAACAGTAAAAATAACACAATAAATCAAAATAGTCACAGCGTCAGGTACTTAGTTCCTTGTTTGGCAGTTCTGAAACAGTAAAAGTAACACAATAAATCAAAACAGTCACAGCATCAGGTAGTTAGTTCCTTGTTTGGCAGTTCTGAAACAGTAAAAATAAATAACACAATAAATCAAAATAGTCACAGCGTCAGGTAGTTATTTCCTTGTTTGGCAGTTCTGAAACAGTAGAAATAACCCCCTGTGTGGGTTCCGGGGCCCCATTGTGGGGAAAACAAGAATAGACCCACTGCCTCTCCAAAAGCATTTCGTAAGAGTCGACTAATTGGGGAGCTTCCTTTGAAGTCTGAGTGCATCTGCCAGAGAGGCAAGAAACCAACAGTCTGTATTCAAGAGAATGAGATCTGTAAAACTGATGCACAAGCAAAACTCAGGTTCTGGAACAGGACTGCAGTTCAGTAGTGGACGATCAACCAGAACTTTCCGCCAGAGTGTACAGCTGGTGAACGCGAAGAAGAAGAAGTAGAAATAACACGACAAATCAAAATAGTTACATCATCAGGTAGTTAGTGCCTCGCTTGGCAGTTCTGAAACAACAGAAATAACACGATAAATCAAAACAGTAACAGCGTCAGGCAGTTAGTTCCTTGTTCGATAGTTCTGAAATAGTAGAAATAACACGATAAATCCGATTAGTAACAGCATCCGGTAGTTAGTAAGTTGCTTGACAGATTTAAAACAGAAGAAATGACAAGACAAATTAAAATATTAACGGCATCGCTTGCTGCTGAAGATGGGAGCGGAGCGCTTAAGGGGGTATCCCGAGTGCTGTATGTCGATTCTTTATTCAACATTCAACAAATATTAACTGCATAAATGTGTGCCTTGTTTGGCAGTAATTAGTGGGGTGGAAATAAGTAGATGAACTGAAAATTGAAAACTGTATCAGATTGTATTTTGTTTGGCAGCTCTGAAATAGAAGAAGTCACAACGACGAAGTGAAATGTTAACTTTATTAGTGCTACAAAATAAACAGCTGGAAAAAGCGCCGAGGAGAGCCACAGACTAGAATACTGGGTAAACAATGAGGTAGACCTATAACAACATTCATAAAACATGTCAAAGAGCGCTTCCGACAAGAAAATTCGACAAACGAGGGGATAGATACATAACAACATTCATAAAACCGACACGCAAATCATCTGTCAACGCTGACGCACGTGGGATGGAGCCATCAGGAAACATCATCTCCAGCTCCAAGAGCAGGAAAACTTGATGATGATTTATTATTCATTCATTATCCTCTTGTGCGGTTTATCCGTCACATAGGGCTTGTAGTCGATTTCGATTGCTAACTTCGTTCCATCCTGTGAAATTCTAAAATCGTGTTTGGCATCAAGTCAGGCACTTTTGGCTTCTCTAATCAAAGTTCGTCATAGGGTTTCTCCTGGCCACCCTCGCTGCCTCCGTGAATAAGTTTCTTATTTTGGAGTGATCTGTGTTCGCTGTTTTGTTTGATGTTCAGTTATAAAGATTAAACCTATGGACTTACAAGAAGGTTGTAAGTGGGGTCTTAAGTTATGTTAAGATATTGTTATAAACATAGAACTGTATTCGTGATACACACACGCCTTTTCGTGTATATTTTACGAATTCTTGGTTTCAACGCTTTTTAACGATAATTGTTATGAATCTACCGTTTAAAAAAAAATGAATCTATTTATGTGAATAAACTTCTTCCCCGTGTGGGTTCCTGAGCCCCAGTGTGGATGAAACAAGAATAGACACCCTGCCTCCCCAACAAGCATGTCGTAGGAATAGCCTAATTGGGGGCTTCCTTTTAAGTCGGAGTGCATCTGTCCCAGCGGCAAGGAAAACTAATTGCACACAAAGAAGCCAGTAAAACGGCTGTACACACACCGATCAGGCACAAAAGCCAAAGTCCAAATGGACGAACATTCAGGACTTAAAGTCGGTGAACAAAGAAGAAGTAAAGGTTTCCAACTGTTGTCTTTCCAGTGTTTGATTCATTGAAACAAAGAACACACTCTGTATGAAGCTTTAGCTGCAAATAAGGGTCAGAGGCTGGACAATTGGAAATCGTGGATCGCTCAAGCAGAAGATACAAAAAGACAAGTATGTATGCTGGAGAACATTGGGCGAGGAGAGGAGTGGGTCAGAGTACCAGAGGAAAAGTCTGACCTGTGTCGGGTTAGGATCACATTGGGCCGGGTGTATATATAGTGGCCTGCGGGTGCTACGGGGGTGAAAGTCCAACAGCTGATTCACGTCAATTCACGCCCAGGTGATCTGATTATCTATACAGATGGTTCGGTGTTAAGAGGAAAGACAAGTGGCTGGGGGTTAGTAGCGAATGCTAATAGAAAATCTTTAGTGCCAGACAGCCTAGCATATAACATCACAACATCTAGCATGAGAATGGAGATGGAGGCGGTAACTGCAGCTCTCCTGTGGTTCGAGAACAAAATGCATACACATGTCGTAATTGTAACAGACTCTGAAAGCATGCTGAGAAAGGTGAAGACAGGAAGGCTTCGAGCAGAGTGGCAAGCTTTATTGAGAAAGTGACGGGTAGTGAGCATACTCTGGATCGTGTCTCTAGACCATGCCAGCGTAGGTGGTACTGAAAAGGAGACAGATTAGCTGGATCTGCCCAATGGGTGGTGAATTGATACATGAAAAGGCAGATGTGGTCAAGGCCCTTTGGGAACAAGCAACGGAATCAGTAGAAAAACAAGACTATTATGGCCTGAAGAGAATGAGGCATTTGGGTGTAACCAGAGGGTCTGGCCGACTCACTACACTCAGAAGAAAGGCAAGATGGACATATAACCAGATTGTGACCGGTACCATCAGTATTGTAACCCTGCGCTGGCTGCTGAAGATGAGAACGGAGCACACATGAGGGTGCCCCGAGTGATGTGATGTCCATTCTTGATTCAGCTCAACTCAACTGATTAATTATAATTTTAAACTTTCCGGTTTTTTTTAATTTGGGTTCTAAAAAGAATAGTTCTTTAAAGAAAGAAAAAGGTATATTTTACATTGTCCACTTTGTATTACAACTTGCCTATTTATATCATCATCTATTTTCTCTTTCAACTAATTTGAGAGTGACGATGCAACTCATACGTTGTCATCAACTTATCGTAATATAAACACATAAGCCCTTTCCTAAGCACTGGTTTGGTCCTTTGACAACCAAACACAGCAAAACCTCACTAATACGAACTTGTTTGAGAAGAACATTTGGTTAACATAAACTCAATTTTGATTACATTAAGGATGGATTATTATGAATCTTTGACTTGTATGATTTTTTGTTTTTGGGTCTTAAACAAGAACTCGAGTTTTTCCGTTCTCTGGCATGTGTGCCATCAAGGTTGTAAGGTACCTAGAAACTGTGGAGGAAATATTGCCAATCAAGGGCGCTTACACATAGAAAACACTGAGTGGGCTCAGTCAAAAGCTTGTATAAACAAATATTTGAAAGAGAACTTCCATACATAGTTTTGGGGGAAAAGGGGAAAAAAAAAGGGGGGGGGGGTGCCTCTTAGCCATTTACAAACTTTCTAGTGCATTATAGGTATATTATTATATTCATTGGCAATTCAGTACATTATTGGAATCTTTCTTAATATCCTACCCCAAACATGGGGAAATCCACAGATCACAGGACAGTATAATATTTCAGGGGTGGTAGATAGGCTGCATGCTATCGTAGGACATAGGATGCACTTTCTCGTGGGAGGTAGGTGGGTTGGGGTTAGGGCCAGTGCTAGATGTTTTGGGGTTGTTAAAAGCATCAGACAGCCGGGGAACCCAGTCTTACCACCCTCTAAAATGTTGGACTGTCATGTGACGTCATCCGGGGGTAGGATATTACGAAAGAACCCATTTTTGTTGTGTTGTTGCTGTTATTATTATTATTATTATTATTATTATTATTATTATTATTATTATTCTCTTTAATGCATTGAATAGAAAAAAATACAATTAAAATAATGTGACATTTATAAGTAAATAGTTTCAATGAGAATTTCTATGTATGGTTCCAGGGGGTCTCTTAGCCGCCTTTTACATTTTCTTAAAACACATTTCTGAGAAAAGGGGAAAAAGAGAGGAGATGGGGTAGATCCATTACCCATAAACAAACATGTCGTAAAAAGCGACTAATTAAGAGTTTGACAAAATCGAATGTGTTGTACTGGAACTCACGTATGTTGAGTTGAGTTGAGTTGAGTCAAGCATTGACATCACAGGACATTGGGGTATTCCTATGGCCGCTCCGTCTTCATCTTCAGCAGCCAGCGCAGAGTTCCAGTACTGATAATCATCATACCAGTTGTAATTTGGTTATATGTCCGTCTTGCCTTTGATCTGAGTGTAGTGAGCCGGCCAGACTATCTGGTTACACTTAGGTGCACCACTCTCTCATGTCCGTCTTGCCTTTGATCTGAGTGTAGTGAGCCGGCCAGACTATCTGGTTACACTTAGGTGCACCATTCTCTCATTTTCTTCTGCCTTTCTAGTCACCAATAAAGCATAGACCCTCAACCAACTCACGCCAAGTCGTTCTATCTTTTGCTATAACATGCAGCTCTCGCCATGTCTTCCCTATCTTTCTGACTGCATTCTCCAGCTCCCTTCTCCATGTGTTTTTGGACCTTCTTTTTATTCCCGTGCCCCTATGGGTTTCAGAGTAAAGACATTCTAGTTATATTGTTCTCCAGTTATCTCAATGTTATCTTATCCAACGCCAGCGTCTTTTCTTCACCTGTTGGTCCACTGGAGCTTGCTTAGTTTTCTCCTAAAGCTCTGGTTATTCTCTCCTTATATACATATATCCATGCCTAGCTGTAAACCATGATACAACTTGCCAGTCGTCTTTTTAA